ATTACTAACGGTTTAAATTCATCGTCATTCTACATTTATAAAAATCGTAACATACTTCTTTTATGAAAAGAATAGTGTCATGGTGGAAATCTACGATTTCTGCAAGATATTTACGATTTTTGAAAATAAAAAGTATGAAAATACCATCGGTTTCGCTCAATAAAAAAAATAGTATATACTCTAGTCTATGCGGTATTCGATGATTCACCTTAAATACGACTGGCGCCACGATGTATCAGCTACACACCGAGACGTATTCGTCATAGTAAAATTTAAAATTACTAGACACAATCGTTAATATTACATTATTGTTACTTGTTACTCACATTTACCCAAAATGTGGATATACAACTTTATAGTACATTTTAAGTCGTTAACAATATATAATCTTTTCAATTCTTTTTCGTCTTACTATTTATAGAAAAAAGTAACGAAACGAGTTAGTTTAGAATCATTTATAAGAAACCAAAGTTTGTACCATATACATACAAATTAGTTTAGATAGTCAGGTAATTTGTATTTTCCCGCCAAACACAAATTACCATCTTATTGCCCTTCTACAAAATTCGGCTACCAAAATTTTATCCATAATTCTTCATAACCGGATATATTCAATTTTCGAAAAGTTGAGCACAAAGTAGGTACATTTAAAAGAATATCGGTTAAAATAACTTTTTGAATAAAAAGTAATTACTAAAAAACCTAAAGAAATGAAATGTCACATTGACATTGTCAGAAAAAAGTGAAATATGTTGGATGGATGATGATAATATACCGGTGGTACCGTTAAAAGTTAAACTTTTAAGAATAAATTGTGCACCGAATTATATTTGTGACTCTAATCAAATAGTATACTTTGTAATTGATTTAGTGAAATTAGGTAACGTACATTTATAGAACCTTAGCGATATAAGTCATACTTCCGCTAAAGTTTCTTTTTTTAACTTTCAGTTTTTGGCGCCAATACTATAATACAACAATTGAAGATATCTGTAACAGTTTAAAAATGAACAAAGGCAAACAATTTAAAGGCCCACCCCCGAAAAAGTTTAAATCACAAGATGACGATGACGATAATGAAGTACCGTGTAGTTTTGAGGATACTCTTGCAGGAATGGAAGTAGAATTTGATTCGCCTGAATTAATTGGTGAAGGCCCGGAAAATCAGTCTACTAATATTAAATGGTCTCGACCAAACATTCCTCAGTTGGACCCTAATAAAGATATCATAGTATTTCAACAACTGGAAATTGATCATTACAATGGTCAACCATTGGCTGGTATGCCTGGATCGCAACTAGGTCCTGTCCCAATAATGAGAATGTATGGTGTCACAATGGAAGGAAATTCTGTGTGCTGTCATGTCCATGGGTTCACTCCATATTTCTATGTCACAGTCCCTTCAAACTTCACTGACTCCATGTGTAATGATATGAAAATTAATCTTAACAAAGTTATCTTAGAAGATTTACGTTCTAATAAAGATAATATTCGGGAAACAGTATTGGAAGTGCGTTTGATGCAAGCTCGTTCCATTATGTATTATAAAGGTGATGTAGATATAAGATTTGCTAGAGTATCTGTAGCCTTGCCTAGGTTGATAGCTGCAGCAAAGCGTCTTATTGACAAGCAACCACCATCCTTCGGATTATTGGACCCATCTTTTTATGAAACTAATATAGATTTTGATATCAGGTTCATGGTAGATACTAATGTAGTGGGATGCAGTTGGATAGAATTACCTGTTGGAAAATGGTTGATAAGGTCCAAAGATAGCAAAGTAAAGCCAGAATCAAGATGTCAAATTGAAGTTGATGTTGCTTGGAATAATTTTATTGCACATCAACCTGAAGGTGAATGGTCTAAGGTAGCTCCTTTTAGAATATTAAGCTTTGACATTGAATGTGCTGGCAGAAAGGGTATTTTCCCTGAACCTAATCATGATCCTGTAATCCAAATCGCTTCTATGGTTGTCAGGCAAGGTGAGACCGAGCCATACCTTAGAAATGTGTTTACATTAAATACTTGTGCTCCTATAGTTGGTTCACAAGTTCTAAGTTTCCAATCTGAATCAGAAATGCTTGCCAGGTGGGCTGACTTTTTTAGAGAACTAGATCCTGATATAATAACAGGATACAACATTAGTAACTTTGATTGGCCATACCTCATTAATCGTGCAAAACATTTAAAAGTTGACAAATTTGACTTTTTGGGTCGTATAAGGAACATTAGATCAGTTATTAAAGATTCAGTTTTACAGTCAAAGCAAATGGGTCGCAGAGAAAATAAAAGTATTAACTTTGAAGGCAGAGTTCCTTTTGACCTACTGCTTGTACTTGTTAGGGATTATAAGCTAAGATCTTATACTTTAAATGCTGTGAGTTATCATTTTCTCCAAGAGCAAAAAGAGGATGTGCATCATAGTATTATTTCAGACTTACAAAACGAAAATGAGCAAACAAGGCGAAGACTAGCTATGTACTGTCTGAAGGATGCATATTTACCTTTGAAGCTGTTGAATAAGTTAATGTGTATAATAAATTCCATGGAAATGGCAAGAGTTACAGGAGTTCCCTTAGTATGTCTGCAAACAAGAGGCCAACAAATCAAAGTTGTAAGCCAACTTCTACGGAAAGCTAAAGAGGCAGGATATTTAATACCAGCATACCATGGCCAAGGTTCAGATGATCAGTTTGAAGGAGCAACCGTAATTGAACCTAAAAGAGGATACTATGCAGACCCTATATCCACTTTAGATTTTGCTTCCCTATACCCAAGCATAATGATGGCTCATAATTTATGTTATACAACACTAGTCCCTCCAAACATGCAAAAAGATTTAAATTCTGACGATATAACTATTACACCAACAAAAAATATGTTTGTTAAATCTAATATCAGAAAAGGCTTGCTACCTGAAATTCTAGAATCCCTGTTAGCTGCGAGAAAAAAAGCTAAAGCTGATTTAAAAGACGAAAAAGACCCTTTCAAAAGGTCAGTTTTAGATGGTAGACAACTAGCATTGAAAATAAGTGCCAATTCTGTGTATGGGTTCACAGGGGCACAAGTGGGCAAGTTACCATGTTTAGAAATATCAGGCAGTGTCACTGCTTATGGCCGAACTATGATAGAATTCACAAAATCTGAAGTTGAAAAGAAATATACTAAATCAAATGGTTATAAGGAAGATGCTGTAGTAATTTATGGTGATACTGATTCTGTTATGGTAAAGTTTGGTGTCAAAACACTTGAAGAAAGCATGGAATTGGGCAGAGAAGCTGCAGAATTTGTTACTTCAAAATTTGTTAAACCTATTAAACTGGAATTTGAAAAAGTATACTATCCTTACCTTCTTATAAATAAAAAGCGTTATGCGGGTTTGTACTTCACACGACCTGATAAATATGATAAAATGGATTGCAAAGGCATTGAGACAGTCAGACGAGATAATAGCCCTCTTGTTTCAAATATGATGAGTACTTGCCTTCAAAAGTTATTGATAGACAGAGATCCTGAAGGGGCAGTTAACTATGCTAAACAAATCATATCAGATCTGTTGTGTAACCGAATTGATATATCTCAACTTGTTATAACAAAAGAACTAACAAAAAATGATTATGCGGCCAAACAAGCTCATGTTGAGTTGGCTGCTAAAATGAAAAAACGTGATCCAGGCACAGCACCCAAGCTTGGTGACAGAGTCCCTTATGTTTTGTGTTGTGCTGCTAAGAATACACCTGCATACATGAAAGCTGAAGATCCTATTTATGTGTTGGAAAACAGTGTGCCTATTGATTTTAATTACTATCTAGAAAATCAGTTGTCTAAACCATTACTGAGAATTTTCGAACCTATTTTGGGTGATAAAGCAGAATCACTTTTGTTAAAAGGAGAACATACTATGACGAAGGCCATGGTGACTTCAAAGGTTGGTGCATTGGCTGCCTTTACCAAGAAAAAAGAAAAATGTATAGGATGCAAAAGTGTTATGCCAAATGATACTAAAAAGGCATTATGCAACCACTGTTTGAGTAAAGAAGGCCAACTGTATATTACAGAAATGTTTAAATTGAGACAGCTACAAGATAAGTTTTCCAAGCTTTGGACAGAGTGTCAAAGATGTCAGGGAAGTTTGCATGAAGAAGTGTTATGTACAAATAGAGATTGTACAATTTTCTATATGAGAAAGAAAGTAGGGATGGAACTTGATGTACAGGAAAAGACTGTTTTGAGATTTGGTGAACCGGTTTGGTGAAATCGAAAAAAGGCATGATTGTTTTAAATAAAAAATATTACTCAGTTTTTTTATTTTATTATATCATACATTCTATAATTTAAAACAAATTAAATCCAATATTATATCACATTTTTCTCAACATTTCTTAAAATTAATACTATTTCATAAGCAAAAGTGTACTGATATGGATATTTTCAGTAACAAAACTGATCAAGGATATGAAAATAAATTTGCTTGATAACAGTTTTTTTTTTAATTACAATAACACATGCACATTCTGATATTAACTTCGATTCTGAAACATTCCTCTAGACATATCTAACAACTTTCATTTATCTTCTATATCAAACAACCAGTGCACATAAATTTGTATATTTTGACTTTCAAGTTCATTGATGAAGTTTTCTCTGTTCAATCATACTACTATTATCTTGAAACATCACACAATCATCAAAAATAAAACAAAAGACTTCTTTACAAGTTAAACTAAAACCTACATGAATGTACTGTACCATAATAAAAGAGGAATATATGGTATTAAAGTGTAATACAGGTGTTTAAATATTCCATTTAACAAAGATTACACCTACCACCTATTTACAAGCTTTTATAATATTAAGCAAAGCCGAATAAATACTGACATTTGTTATCTAAGACATTTTACTTTAAATAATGTGTGCATACTATTGCAAGATAGTACACAAAAAA